GTGTGTGTGTGTGTGTGTGTGTGTGTGTGTGTGTGTGTGTGTGTGTGTGTGTGTGTGTGTGTGTGTGTGTGTGTGTGTGTGTGTGTGTGTGACAGGGCAGAAGGAATATGAGGGAGGAGTTGGCATTTCTGACCACCATCCCCAGCCTGGTTACAGTGACTTTGATATTAACAGGCCTGTATTCAGAGCCTGGCTTTGTAACTCCGACTGGTAGGCAAGTCATTTAATTTTGCATATCTCAATTTCCTCTTCTGTAAAATGTTAAGTTAAAAATACCTATCTTAATGATGGTTGGAAGGATTGGATGGGATGCCTTTATACATTTGTAAGTCTATGGTATTCAGTAAATTTTACAGTTTTTTAAAAACTAGTGTGTATTTTTTCTGACTATAGAAATAAAAATTTTATAGCTATGATACAATACACAAAAGTATAAAACAGAGAATAACCAACCACCCAGAGATAACACCTATTAACATTTGGATGTATGTTCTTCCAGTCTTTGTTCTGTCCATTTCATATAGTTAAAATCATACAGAATCTACAAATAATAGCTGTTATTTTGTGAGCACTTAAAATGTTCCAGGAACTGAACGAGATGCTTTCCATATGTCATTAGATTAATCTTTACAATCCTACTCAGTAGGTGTGATTACCCCCATTATATAGATGATTATTATTTTGAGGAGAGCTATGCACTTAGCCTGGCTGCCTTGTATGAAACTGAAATGCTTTCCTGTATTAACCCACTCTCATACTCAACAACAGCCGAACTAAACACGTACCAACAGAGGTAAAAGGCACGGGCTTGCTCTTGGCTTTTTCCTCCCAGAGGACTCTTAGCTGAAATTCCACCCTCAGCCAGAATATGCATATAGTTTTCCTGGGTGTGTGAATGATGCCGTTACTGTCTCTCTGCCTGACTGTTCTTTTGTTTTTGTTGTTGGTGGTTGGCCTTAAGGGGATCCGAACCCTTGACCTTGCTGTTATAACACCAGGCTCTAACCAACTGAGCTAACTGGCCAGCTCCTGCTGGACCATTCTTAACTATCTCATAACACTTTTCATCTACAGAGTCAGTGATTCTGTTTAAAAATGTGTTCTAATCTTCAGAATGAACTCATAACAAAAAAGGATGTGAGCCTGGCCAAGGGAATGTCTAGTTGATGTGTTGTCGTTGTTTGGAATTGTGGGGAGCCTTGGGGGCCGCTTAGGGATTTTCCCCTGAGGTTTTCCTGCATCGTCTTCTGACTCCTGGTTCGCTGTGGAACTTTGGGCTGTGGGATGGCGGGCTGGAGGCAGAAGAGGTGCTGGCAGCGGGTGGTGGGGTTCCTGTTAGGGCTGTGTGTTCGGGAGAGCTGGAATGACTCACATACTCCCCCTTAGTGAGGTTCCCCAAGGGAACAGACCTCAGGGGTGATGGCAAATGAGAAACAGAGAAGCCTGGGGGGGGGGGCTCTGACTCTTTCTAAACCCAAATCTGACCACCAGGGGATTTTATACCTCAAGGGGATTATGTTGCTAGGCCCACGTTAAATTTATTAGCACCTTAAATTTATTGAAATTAGTTAGGCACTTTACATGTATTAACTCATTTAATCTTCACAATAGACCTGTGAGGTAGAAAGTATTATTATCCTCTTCTTTAAATGAGAAAACTGAGGCACACACAGAGAACAAGATAGCTGTCATTCTCAACAGAAAGGAGCCCACTGGTAAACACGGCCTAACCTGTGTCCTGACTTAATCAGAAGAAAACTAAGGTGGGGGTCAGAGGGGAGCAGGGCCAACTTCTCCTCCCCTCCACCTGCTGGAATTACCAAGGCAAAGCCATTATCACAAGTCCACTGATGCTGACATCCTCCACCTGGCGGGCTGCCCTCATGCCCTGGGGACCACAAGGCTGAGTGCTGATCCTAACTAGATCCCAAGGGGCAGCAAGAGCCAGCTTCCAAAAAATCACACAGGCAAGTCGGCACCCAACACTGTCCACTTTCTTTTCCGCTGCCCGCCCTCCTCTCTGGCTCCTTGTGGCCCACCAGGCATCTGCCGGAGCCCCATTCTGAGGGCCCTGGCTCTCTCCACCAGGGTGAAGTCATCAGACTTTGGAGTTACACGCAGCAGGTCTGCCATTAACTAATTCTTAGTGACCATGGGCAAGTTAGCCTCTGGAGCCTCCATTTCCTTAAAGTGGGTATAATAACACCACCCAGCAGGAGGACTGAAGGATTTAAGGGATGGCTGTAGGTAATGCCCATAGCCCGGTGCAGTTAGCTGCTGAAATGTTGCTTGTAGGACCTCATCAGCACTTCCAAGGGCACTTGTACACTAATAGAGGTCCCCTGAATACCAAAGTCCATGAAGTGATGCTGGTGGCGGAATTCCAGCAATTCCAGCAGGGTGATGTTGGGGCAGGGCATTGTCCCCAGGTCTCTGTGATTCATTCTGACAAGAGTATCTGCTGTCCTGTTCACTTAATGTTAGAGGCTAACCACAGTCCAGTGATGAAGGGGCAGAGCGCGGAGCCAGAGAGCAACTCCAAGGGACTTTCTAAAGGCATACAAGTGCATCAAAGCATTTTGAAAAAAAGTTAAAATGGTATTTCATTCAAACATTTCAAAAACCGATGTGGTTCAGATCACTTCTAAATGGGATGACTTCTCAATAGCTTTTCATATAGGAACAGAATGCTGATTTCAGGAGAAATGGGTTAGGTCAAACCCCATAGATTTGGCACAAGGAAGTGGCTTGGTAGAGCAGTTTCTGAAACTATTATGTTGTGAAGAATCACCTAGAGATCTCTTTAAAATGCAGACTCTGATTTAGTAGGTCAGATGTTATGCCTGAGACTTTCATTTCTAACAAGCTCCCAGATGATATGTGGTCCATGGACCACACTTTGGGAATCAATATGGAAGAAGAAGCTACCTCTCTGCCCACACTTATTTCGGTCCAGAGGATCATTTAGCCAGCTCCTGCTCAGCCACACATAACCTCTATTTGTACTAAATGAGTCCATGGATTATCTTTTCTGTCCCCAAGAATGGCCCGAAAATGATTCCACAAAGGGAAAAATCGCCTGGCCACCTCATGCAGCCCTAACCACATACTGTTTCAGGGAGCAGACCTCTCTGTAACTAACTTTAAGCTGCCTCCCAAGCTTGCCCTCTGCTGGTAGACAAGGGCCATTTTCTCCTAGATCTCACCCCAACCTCTCTTTCTACTCAAATTAATAGAGACAGAAAAGTTGCATGACATAGTCCAGAGGTTTATTTCATTCTTGCCGATTTTGGAGAATTTTTCCACTCTGTTCCTTAAAGTCCACCCCTCAGAGAGGGTAGATAAATGTTTGATCAGCACTTACTAGCAATTCATGTTTCTGTGCATTCCCTAGACATTCTTGCTGACCCCCCTCCTGAGCACTTTCTACAAAGGGCTGACAAGCCTTTGTTTACTCACAGCCTGAACATGGCAAGGTCAGAAGGGAGCAATGTTTCCTTCTGACCCAGGGTTGGAGTTGGCAGTGGAGGCAAAGTTGCTATGGCCCAGAGACACCAGGGACAAAAGAAAAGTTAAGAGAAAGATGAGGAGATTCCTATCACAGATTGTGTCACCATCATTCATTCATTAAGACATTTCTTAGTCCACATCCTGTATGCGTGACTTGAGACCAGGAATGGAGGATTCCTAACCCCTGTACACAGAGCCTAGGAGAAAAGCATAATAGCAAATACTTATTGTTTGCTGTATGCCAAGCAGCATATGTACATGACCTTATTTAATTGTATTTAATCCTCACAGCAATCCTATGGTCATCCTCACTGTACAAATGAGAAAATTGAGGTGCAGAGAAGTTGGGTGACACTTTTAGTTAATAATGAAGCCAGGTGGTTTAATAGAACAACTTGTTATTCTCTTTCATGGTTCTGGAGGTTGAAGGGCTCCTCTGGCTGGTTCTCACTTGTGATTCCTTATACGGTTGCAGTCCGATAGTGACTAAGGCTGAGTAAACATGTTTGGAGGAGGGGCTGGGATATCTAAAACAGCTGGATTATTCTCTTTCATGGTTCTGGAGGTTGAAGGGCTCCTCTGGCTGGTTCTCACTTGTGATTCCTTATACGGTTGCAGTCAGATAGTGACTAAGGCTGAGTAAACATGTTTGGAGGAGGGGCTGGGATATCTAAAACAGCTGGGTACTGGTTGGGCACCTCTGTCCACATGGCTTCTCCACACGGCTAGCTTGGGCTTCCTCACAGCTTGGTAGTCTCGGGGTGTTGGGACATCTTAGATGGTAGCTGGCTTCCCCTGCTGCAAAACCAGACAGAAAATGCAAAATTTCTCATGGCCTAGCCTCTAAAAGCATGTGGTGTCATTCCTGCTATAGTCTGTTGGTCAAAGCACTTACAGTTCAGTTCAGAGCCAGGGGAATGGGGTGGAGCAACGGGCTCTGTCTCTCAGTGGGGAGCAGCTACAAGTAAAGCGAGGTGAGGGATTGAGGAAGTCCACCTGGAGACAAGTCCTCACACCAGGATTTGCCCCTAAGCAGCCTGACTGCAGACTGTGTGCTCAACCATTATGCTGTACTGATACGTGCACACACACGCATACCCCGAGATAGTCATAGCCACAGTACGCTATGATGATAATATATGATAGAATGGTAGGAAAAGTGATTAGCTCTGCCTCAGTAGGTCAAGGAAGGCTTCACACAGGAGGAAACATCCCACGCGCACACACTCACTCCCGCTAGTGTGGAGGACAGGTTATTAAATTCCACACAGTGGGATTTCTGACCGTGTTGTGCTCCCCCACCCCTTAGATTGGAGACCCACACTTGGTGATCTGCATGGACTGCTCGGCAGACACCATGACCAACCGCCTTCTCCAGAGGAGCCAGAGCAGCCCGCGCATGGACGACACCACCAAGGCCATCGCCAAGCGCCTCGAGACCTACTACCGAGCATCCATCCCCGTGATCGCCTACTATGAGACAAAAACACAGCTACAGAAGGTGAGTCATTTCACTTTCCTCCTCTCACATGAGCCAGTTACTTTTTTTTTTTCAAGAGAGAAGAGAAAAAGCCAAGAAATTTTTAGTTTGGGGATCTGAGAATTAGAGCTTCATACAGCTGCAAAATTTGGACCATAATATGAGTCCCTGACTCAGCTCACTTTGGTCTCAATCAAAATCAAATATCTGTCATCTCATAGACTATAAAAAGTTGGTCATATAATTTTCCCAGATGCCACTACAGTTGCTGAAAATGACTCCTTTTTCCAAGAAAGAGAAGGGAGGGAGGGGCGGGGGTGGCAGAGGCAGGGCTGAGACGGCTCTGTGCTGGCTTTCTGGGTGGCCTCTAGATCTCAGCGGAGCAGGATAGTCCAGAAGGTCTCTTCTGGATCTAAGATTCGACGCCTTTGTATTTCTAGAGTTTTACTTAGTTCATAATTGGCACTTGGCTCCTTTGTCTCAATTTCTTATCTGGGGGGAGCAGCATCTGGGGCCAGGAAAGCAGGTAATTTGGTGACACACTGAAGACACTGTGGGGACATGGGTAGTCTCAGCTTAAGGATCATGAGCTCTAATCCATGCTGAGTCACCATGAACTTCATGAATCCAGAAAAACTGCCCAATCCGCATTCTGTCCCTCATTTCATAAATATGTGTCAGGCACCCATGGTTCATTCATTGCCCTAGTGGTCCTGAGGCAGATACCAGGATGTGGTCCTTGCACTCCTGCAGAACTTATGGTCTTGGTAGGGGACATAAACAAACATGTGATCACAGTATGGGGTTAAAGCAAGCATGGAGGGAGTTATCAGGGCCTTTTCATCCAGTCTAAGGGGACAAAAAGTTATCCAGAAAGTTGCCTGAGGCCAGGTGGCAGGGAGAGGGGGGGTGTGAGGGAAGCAGGACACTCCACACAGAAGAAGCTCCAAGTGACAAAGTTCAGAGGGGCCAGTCACTCAGCTTGGCTGTGACTTAAAGTGCCAAGGAAAAGGACAAGCAATGTGAATAGATAGGCGAGCAAGGACCAGCTCAAAATGCACCTCATGTAAATAACTGTCTGTGGGTGATGGGGACTGACCAGGGGGACAGGCACAATCAGGGTTTCAATCTAGGAAGCTCACTCCATCAGCCTTATGGAGAATGGATCCTGAGCAAGTAAGACTGGGAGGCCACTGGGAGCTGGGACAGCAGTCCGAGAACGAAATCCTGAGGGCCCAAACCAGAGTGGGGAGAGTGGGGATCTACCTCTTGCTATTCACAGGAGACATCAATCAATAAATAACACTTGTCTCTGAGGCAGCTACATTATCAGTTCCTTGCAGAAAACCAGTGATAATGAATCCTTATCTTTTAAACCTGTTAATGGTCCATTTTCCAGAATCCTAAGAAGCCCTGGTATAGAAATCTGAAAGATGCCTCTTGATTTAACTTAGGGATATCATATATGTGGCACGAGAGCCATCATCCCCTTCGGTATCCATGGCAGCCATTGCTAATTCATCCCAGCATTCTTTCCTGCAGGACCCAGATGTGGCCTGAGAATGTTTGTCAACGCAGCACTCCAGGCAGTCACTACCGATTCATAAGACTTGATGTGCAACAGGAAACCTATTTGTTGTGCTTTGTGTAACCTCTGGTTGCCACATAAAACAAAGACTTAGATCCTTAAAAACAAACAAACAAAAAACACATTCCATAAGAGCAAGGTCTTAAGAATTCAGAGCTGCAAAGGCTTTTCCGAGACTTTGTGTAACCTCTGGTTGCCACATAAAACAAAGACTTAGATCCTTAAAAACAACAACAACAAAAAAAAAACACATTCCATAAGAGCAAGGTCTTAAGAATTCAGAGCTGCAAAGGCTTTTCCGAGATTAGGTAGTCCAGTGATTTCCACCTTTTGTGCAGCCTGGAACACACACGGAAATTATCCAGGTAGAAGCAAATGTCTTCCACTTTCAAGATTTGTAAGGGTGAGAAATCCCTAAGTAATTCAGGATTTAACCACTCTCAGAAAATCCCTTTTATCTCTCCCTTGAATTATTCTAACCTGAATTCTACAAACTTACAAATGATTGCACATGGATACAGGGCTAAGAGTTCTCAGATAAATCTGATTTCTGAACTTCTCCTTAGAACTTTCTAAAGTAGTGGGAAAGGAAGTTTCCAGTCCCCTTTGGCTCATTTCTTAAGCTTCCCCTGCATTTTGGAGGTGATGGCCACTGGGCCTATGGAGAAGTAACATTTATGATCCACTCTGCAAATATTCAAAACTGCTTTTGCCAGGACCACAGAGCAGTGTAGGCTCCAGCCCTAAAGACTCCCAGAGGGCCTCCGGGGGAAACTGCTGCATCCCGCTGCCTCTGCCCAGCGCCATCTCCTGCCCACACAGCTGCAGAAATAAACAAGCCTCCCACTCACATGCCCAGTGTAGGCACAAGTGCTGGGCCCAGGAAGGCGAGAACCGTCTGCAGGTCCCCATGGGGTCTGCCAGCAGCAAGGGCTAGAGGGAGGATTGGAGGAGAAGCACAGGTGGGCACAGGGTTGTTTGCCATTGGAGAAGGAGAAAGCCTCAGTCCCTCTCTGTTCTCTGGCCTCCTGGGCTTTTGCACCTTCCTCTTGCACCAGCTTGACCTCCCCCTGTTTTCTAAGTGACAGCCCTTGTTCCTGTCATGCTCATTGGCTTGTTGGCCCCTCCTCCCCTTCTCCTTGGTTTACTGAGCCCAAGACAGCACCACTCACCCTGGTGGGCTTCTGGGTCATTTAAGGAGTTTTCTTTAAACCAGGAGAGGGTGGTGAGTGCACTTCAAGAATGCAAGTGAGACAAAGCAGCTCAGTGAGATTGAGTTAGGAATTAGAGCTGCACTGCCGGGCACAGGGTTGTTTGCCATTGGAGAAGGAGAAAGCCTCAGTCCCTCTCTGTTCTCTGGCCTCCTGGGCTTTTGCACCTTCCTCTTTCACCAGCTTAACCTCCCCCTGCTTTCTAAGTGACAGCCCTTGTTCCTATCACGCTCATTGGCTTGTTGGCCCCTCCTCCCCTTCTCCTTGGTTTACTGAGCCCAAGACAGCACCACTCACCCTGGTGGGCTTCTGGGTCATTTAAGGAGTTTTCTTTAAACCAGGAGAGGGTGGTGAGTGCACTTCAAGAATGCAAGTGAGACAAAGCAGCTCAGTGAGATTGAGTTAGGAATTAGAGCTGCACTGCAGCCCAGCCTGGGCAGCCCAGAAATGGTCCACAAGCACCTCCATCAGGCCTCTGCCCAGTGGTGCTGACATTGAGTCCATCAGCAGATGCCCCAGCCCCAGGCCAGCCAGCCCTTTTGGCCACAGATAGCCAAAGTGCAGCAAGATTTCTAGTAATGGTCATTTAAAAAGCAAAGAAGACATTATACAAACTCTGCCTTGTTCTTTATGTCCTATTATGTCATAAAGGTATAATAAACATAGAAGTCTGTGTAATGCAAATGCATTCTTTATGTCCTTATTATGCCATCAAGGTATAATAAAGATAGAAGTCCATGACTTTGTCTTCCTCCCGCTCATAAAGCAAAACTTTGCTCTGCATCTGAGAAAGTATTAGAACAGATCTTTTCTCTGTTCCATCCCCTTCCCCTGTGCACTTGGGGCAGACACCATTAATCATTCCTGGCACTT